TCTAGGTTTTTGTTGTTGATTTGGGTTGGTTTTTTGTTACATAGCAGGAATTATAAAAGACACTGGCCTGAAATATATATCTTGCCATTGTGAACGGCTCCTGCATGGGCTGCCAAAGGTTGTGGTAACGAAGACACGTAACGCCACTCGTTTGTCTCCAGGTTGTAGCACTCCACGCTGGACAAGTAACCAGTTTCGTTTCTTCCACCAATTACATACAAGTTCTTGTCAAGGCGACAGGCGTAGAAACTGGCTCTCCTGGAGGACAGGGCAGAACAAAACAAAACAAGCCAACAACAAAGCAATTAGCCACATCAACCATATCTCTTCCGGCTCCAGCTGACTCCCTGAACTAAGATAGCGGCTCCTTCAAATGCTACTTCAGACAGAAGTGTGCAGGAGCTTCACATGCTTACAGCTATCCTAGAGACTGTGGCTGCTTTGCTAATCAAATATGTGCTCCACATCAAACGAATACTTCATTTCTGGTGTCAAAACAATTAAGCATACATAAATCTGGTATAAAATACCCCTTTTCAAAGCTGTTTTTTGCTTTTTCACACCTGTGAAAGATAAAAAGGTGCTCATTAATGTTTGGGGCATTACCTTGTAAGGGATATAACAACTCAGTAAGACAAAGTGAAAAATGAGGTAGATAATGTAACAATAATAAATTATCTTGACATTCACTTTCTTTATGGTCCTTCAAGGGTCATTGTTCCCAATTTACTAAGAGAACCACATCATCAAAATTTTTCTTCAATTATCATTTTTTTCTTCTTTCTGCAGTACTGCAAGTAGAACAACTTTCCTTACGCTAGGCACAATATTACATTTACGCCCTTTAACTCAAAAGAGGTCTGTCTCCATCCAACTAACTCTGAGAAAAGTTTTAGCCACTTGTCCGCTTTCACATGTGGTATATTTCAGGTATGCAGGAAAATACTTTATTTTTCTGGTCAGGACTGCTCAGCATATTAGTTTGTCTTCCTCGTGCTGCCAAAATTAACAGTAAGTGTCTATTGCTGAAGTAAAAATAGAGCAGTAGACAATTCTGAGAGACCCTGTTTGGTGTAATCCACTTTCAGGGAAAATTCCCTGTATTATGCAGCAGCAGGAAGGTTTTCTAGGGTAGAGGCCTTTAATTTTAAACTGCAATGCTATGAGAAAGAAAATTGCAAAGAGCACAGCTAGGCTAGGATGAAGACCCGTACAAAATGTTGAATGACAAGAATCATCAGTCCCAAACCTCAAATTTTCTCCTGGGTGAAACCGGAGTGGTGTGGGAGCCCAGAGACAAGCAGGCAGGTGAGGGATGGCAAGGTCTAGCCCTGCGAAACAGGCACGCTGGAGTGTGGCTGCAGCTTGCCAAACCCTGCTCCGTGCCTGACACAGTAAGCTCCAGTTCCTGCCCAGGCACCCAAATTTGAATCTGGGAGCGACTGCATATTGCATTCTTGAATCGCACAGTGAATCTTGGGGGCTTGACCATCAAGGGCTCGATCCTGCAGACTGCTACAACGCATTCGGGATGAGCAGTGGTCCATGTACAGAGCACAACACCCTGCAATGAACAGCTCTGGTACGTCCCAACTCCTCTCCAGGCTATAGTCATCCCACGACCAGGTGAGCTAGCAAAGCCTGCTGTGCCGTGTCTCTAACCTGCCATCTAGCCAGGCACGCGTTCAGGAGCATTTCCTTCAGTGAAGGCAGGAGTAAGATCTCTCTCCTTTACCCAGGTGCCTATTTTCACAAAACTTGTAGTATGCTTTAACATTTTGGAGAAATTTCCCTCTTTGTTAAACGTGGCTGAGACTGGCTGATGGGTTTATAAGTTGGAGGAGACGTCATGCAGACACGAAAATACAGCCATGGAAACAGCAGGGCTGGCTGAGCGTTCAGGGAACAGATCTGATGCAATGCCACCTGTTTCTGGCCTTACTTTTTGGATTTGGTGCACACCTGAGAGGAGTCCTCACCCTGGCTGGTGAGGAGCTGCGTCACCGAGCACCTCCTGTCTACCTCTTTGCTTTCATCTTGCCTGCACATGGGCAACTTGGACGGTGCGGGACAGCACCCCTTGTTGAGCAGGAACACTGGCACAAGGATAAGGCTACCAAAAGACAAGACAGAAACAGGAGGACAGGAATGCTGCTAAGTGCCTCCAGCTCAGCTGATGAATTAAATAAGACCATTTAATTTATCTGTCAATGGGCAGATAGAAGCTGATGGCATATATTGCTCTGCATGGTCGGGCAGCAAATTGTGCATCTATGTTTTTAGCCTGATTTTCTATGGAAACAAAGCTTATTTGATTACACTGTACATGTACCCATGTCTGCCTGAGTGTTGTCTCCTCAACAAAAAGCTGCTGGCTGATTTCACTCTGATTTGACAGAGGGTATAGGTGTTAGAGGCAATCAAGTGCCTATGTGCTTCCTGAGAGTACATGACAGGCCAGAAGCAAGACAGGCTGTAGTGGCCTCAAAAGTAGGAAAAGCTGCAGAGGTCACATCCTATTAGACATCAGAGAGCCTGCATGGGTGGGCACACACTCTCCAACTCTCCTGTGTCTGGCAGCTGCAAGGCACAAACCCACAGGGTGCCTGTCGTCAATGCTTGGGGTGCTCACATGTCCGCTCGTCTGTCCTTGCGCACCCCCTCTGACAAACCTGTTAACAAACTGCTCTCAGCGTGGGTTTTTTAGTTCAGGTTTAAGAAACAGAGGTAGGTACAACTAGCAGGCTTTACTATTTTAACTAGGATTTCACTGATATTATTCTGTATGTGTACTCCTGGTTTCATCCACACAGTGTCACTATAAGGAGCAAAAATGAAAGCGTCAGCACACTTCACTCTTCTGCTTGGATGCGAATATTCACTCAGTAGCTCCTGGCACGAATATTTTAAGCTTTTTGGTTTTTCACTTTTCAATGGTACAGTGTGTAAGGGGCGTGCTGTTAAGTGATGACTTTTTAAATTGCTGTAAAACATGATTTGGATTAAAATATAATACAGCAATCTTTGCACGACAACTTTCCCCACAAAACTGGGAAGAGACTATCCATTCTATATGAGATAAATGGAATCCACCTCAGGATCTGAATATGGACAATAAGACAATTAATTTATGGTTTTCTTCAGGATTGCAAGTACTTGACGTTCACTGGTCTCTGAAATGCTTTTCTTTCAAACCCCTTCACTCAATAATCAACCCAACCAAATTATTCTCATAAGTACACACACATAAAAGGGAAGAATTTCTTTCTGATTTCCACAGATGATGAATTTATACCCTGAAACAAGAAATACAACTACCAGTCTGAAGTTTAAAACTACCAATGCTATTACTGATCACTGCGATATCTGGACCTGATTTCAGTGTCACCGTTAGAGTGTATGCTTTGCTTTTTAAAAACTAAAGTCATCTTAATAAGGGTTAACATTACTATTATTAAAGTCATAGACTACAATAAAATGTGAAATTGTCTCTCTCTTTTTCTGCGGCTTCTTTTCTCAGTTCACTCGGCCTCAGTGAGGATGCTGACCTGCTCACTTCACTTGTGCTTCTTCAGGCCCTGGTACAATGCCGGGTTTTTTGCTGGTCTTTAAACAGAAACTTTTAACTCAGAATGTAAGAAAAAAGAAGATGTTTTAAATGTTATTATGTTCCACAAACCTTGTCCAGCTCTGGGCTGAGCTGGCAAGATGCAACAGTACCGGCTGAGGTGTCCAGCTGAGGCTCATGCCGCAAGTTCAGATACTTCTGCTACAAAGGCCACTCCTTCA